ACAAATTAAGCCTATTTTTTCCGCGATATCTCAGGGACATATTAGAGGTATTGTCTAGCTATTATCAAAGTTTGTTCGGAATTCATCGGGGAAAGACAACATCATGCGGTACTTAACTTGGAGCAAGAATTTTCAAAGAAAAAGAGCGTATACAAAATCAAAAATTCACATTTTACTTTGTATCAAATATATATTGACCGATTTCTAGAAAAGAACTTCCCTATCATATTGCTACGTAAATTTCTTGTCCATAAAGCCAAACTCCCTCTAGTGTTTTCGCATCTCACTGATTTTGAATTATTTACAACGGACGCAATAATTTTTTTAAAAACGTACATTTTGCATCAGCGATTTCGCCGTTGCATCGCAATCTATGCAAGGGTATTTGTTGTCGTACGCTATTGTTTAATTGGACAATAAGAGGATTAAAGTTTTCATACATATCATCGTTTTTACCATAGCTCTATCATTTGTAACATTTTTTTTTTTTAGCTGAATCCCATTCAATATACCATAGCACACGATGAAATGCCATTGTGTCATTACGCATATTAAGTGTGTTGATGTACACAATTGTCCAATTAAACAATAGCGTACGACAACAAATACCATTGTTAGATTGCGAGGTAACGGTGAAATCACACTAGAGGGGGTTTAGCTTTATGGACAGCAAATTTAAAACAAATTCTAGGATTCGATTTCGAGTTAAGGCTGTCACACTGGAAAAATCGCGCGCTTTTAAGGTTGTAAATTTGATGTAAATATGAAAATTATTTACATCAAATTTACAGAATTTTGGACACTTACAACAAGGGGCCATTTCATTGCGCATGCACGATAAGCTTGAGCTACCTTGGTCACAGCACTGTTTTGCAGCTCGTTCTCGGTCGAGATGTTTACATAATTTACGTTYAGGAAAATACGCTTTTTCATTCTTCAACAAGTAATTGATTAGGTTCAAACGTCAAGTCTAGTATCGAATATGTGTTGAAAGTCTTATTCAAGTTAAATTTCTGGAGTATATCTGCTTAAAATATGGTTAAAAATCATACAGGGTGACTGACTTGGAGAAGATAAAATGGCGACTGAAATGTGGTCAAAACCTTACTTTGTCGTTGGTTTATCTTAGGAAACAAGACGCTCTGGTGCCTGTTCTTATAGCCATGTAAATTGGATGCTATTTGTACCTTATGACAACATTTTGTTTTGAAATCGCTTGCAATTAAAGCGGCAAGATTCACACAACCTTTATGCGATAATTGTTAAATTCGCGCTTTTTGACATTTTTCATCTTGAAATATTATTAAATCTAGTTAAAATACCAATGCGAACCAAGCAGAAATGATTATAATCGTATGTATTGATATATTGATAATCGCCTATGGTTTTTTAAATTTTACAATTAAGAAGGMTGAACATTTTGATTAGTTTGTACCGATACTGTTTTATGAATCATCTTTAATTCAAAAATTGGCGAAGATGGATATTTTGGCCTTTCAAGATTGTAAGCATTGTTTACATGGTCATTATGTTTTGGTCAAAACTCGTGAATTTTGAAATATTCGAGCATGAAATCAGATGTATTTACATGTTATACTAGCCATTACAAAAGTCCATACATGATATATCAGCGATCGGACAATTGTTTTGATATTTATAAAGAATCAAATACATGATAAATATGCTAATGTGGTTACTATCATTAATAACTATATATCTGACTTGTGTGAGAAAATACCACACTTATTTCATTTGATTTGATGTCCTTTGTTTCTTTGCTTCTGATGTATCAAATTTGAATTTCTTAAAAAATTGGCAAAGGTTGGTAAATTTGCAATATTCTACCATATGATGCTCTGTTTTGCCTGTCATAAATATGAAATAAAACTCATATCCACTTGTTAAAGCTTGTTTTTAGCTACAGACAGGGGCTAATTCAGCTGGTGGGTGCAGGGAGTTTGCAATAACCCCCTCGCCCCCTCGAGATTTAGTATGCTTCCTTTTATTTGTGTCTCCTTTGTCATGGTTTCTTGGAGAGCTCCCTGGCTGAGTGCCCTGCACCCCTCCTTGGAAATAATGTAATCTTCACACAGTGCTTTACTGCATGTAACATCGAGTACAACAAATCTGCAACATTTCTTTTGATTTCATGTATTGTCATCTGATCTTCTTATCTTATAAAACAGGTGGGGAAGGGGGCTATAGCTCCCCAATATATTGCTCAAAAAACAAATTGAGAAATAGTATAAACGTTTTTTTTGATAGAATCCGCTAATTTTTCAAATGCTATCCGAACTCGACTGCTACTCAGTCCCTGATTATTATACTTTATGTTTTATCAAGCGCCACAAATACGCGCGTCCACCCCTAGACGTTTGATTGTTACAAACTAGGTCTTTTAGCTATGTTATTGCAGATCGATAAAGTTCTTTTTAATTTTTTTTGTATTGTTGTTGTTGCATACTCTTTATTGCATTTTCAATTTCTTTATTACGCCCGCAAATAACGATGGAACCGAAAATATAGAGAAATAAAGRAATGCACGATARCTKTTCRCYSTYSTGTAABAAATGAATGAGCGGGTAGCCTGTTGTGAGCCTGCAAGTAACAATGCGACAATACAGCTGCTCGCGCATGGTCGATGCAAAATGGCCCCTTGTTGACACTTACATCATATTTACATCAAATTAGCAACCTTTAATGCGCGCGATTTTTTCCAGTGTCAGAGTCTGTTTGTCTAAAAAGAGTTACTATGCACTAAAGACATACCTTTTGCTCCATACCATTAACTCTCCAACGAATTGGTGTACACTACCGAAACTCTGCATGWACGTAGCAATATGATAGGGAAGTTCTTTTCTAGAAATCGGTCAATATATATTTAATACAAAGTAAAATGYGAATTTTTGATTTTGTATACGCTCTTTTTCTTTGAAAATTCTTGCTCCAAGTTAAGTACCGCATGGTGTTTTATTGTCTTTCCTCGATAAATTCCGACCAAACTTTGATAATAGTTAGGCAGTACCTCTGATATTATGTCCCTGAGATATCGCGGAAAAAATAGGTTTAATTTGTTTGAAATAGCTGTAAAAGCGTTTTCCTGGATTTCCCCATAAAACGCATAAATTAAATCCGATTTTCCAAAAATTTACTCAATATGAATTTGAATCTCTTGTTAATCATGTAGTAAGATATCATTACGATCTGACTAACTTAAATTACTTTTCAGACCCGTTTCTTTCGTCCCTGTCGGTGTTCTAAACANGAGTTCGCGCTGGCATTTTTTGTAGATGTCAACTGCGTTTTACTACTGTCTATCTCCTCACCTTTCACCTTTCAAGGAAGTAGAAGGAGTCCAAAAAAACTTCACAGAATTGGTGAATCGAACGTCTGTTTCTTTGAAAATCCAGTTTGAAGCTGGTGTCTTTCGAAATGTAACGGATGCACGTTACTATCTGCACGGTCGATCACGAACGAAAATTGCTAATATTTTTAGGACGAGAGTCAAGCCTTAGACGATTGCTTCGAAATGATTGTCTTTGGTCACTACTGGATAGCATCATGAAGCTTGAAACGTAGAAGAGCTAATCTTCTGAAAGAAACCAGGAGAGGATCACACCTTCCATGAAAGTATTCTGAAAAGTGTGTTAGCTTGACCAAACGCAATTTTCCTCATCTGCCATATAAATATTTGTGACTTTTAATTATGGAACAACACATCGACAACAAAATTTTGGTAGAATTGAGGAAGGGCTTGACACTTAATATATTTTTTAAAACAATAGAGAGTAGGAAAGAATGCTCGATGATAAGGTTTACTTCCCAGAATGCATTGCAAGCATCAAAGAACTTTCAGGAAGACCAAAAATAGACGCAAAAATTACCATAGTGAAATGTGAAATGTGAAATGTCAGGTAGGTCAATGTGAAATGTCAATGAAAATGTGAAATGTGAAATGTCAATGTCAATGTCAATGTCAATGTGAAATGTCAGGTAGGTCAAGGAAAGGGAGGCTTATTGACTTAAACAGTTGATATGTGAATGCTGTTGAGCTTGATATTTGTCAATTTTCAGGACTCGAGAGCAAAGTCAAGATGTACATTGAAGTTCTGTTTGAGAGACTGGTCATTAAGGCTGTTTATTTGCTTTATGGGTTCCAGTCCTCCTCGGTCAAATCAATGGTAAGCATTTAGAGTAGGTTTGTGATGTTGTATTGAGACGGTTTCTTCGCAGAGACTTTTCAAGTGCAATAGAGCATCAGACTGTCATGTTTACTTCCTTGTGCGTCTTCGGAACGATGCGTGCAGTGGCAAAATAAGATTTTAAATGCTGTTTACCCCCCCTGACATTGATTTGCGCACAAAGTGCACGCCAAAATTGGACTCGCTGACCAAAATTACATAAGAATAGGCCCTTTTCAGCTTCATAAGTAGTGTTATTACAAAAAATATTATAACTATATAAGCCTTTTAGAATTATTATTATCATCATTATTAATATCAAAGCTTTTTAAATGTCAATGGTAATCAGTTTTTTGGTAACTAGAATTTTATAAAGCGACTGGCAGATGTTTGGATTTTGAASATTATTACTTATAAATATTACTCTCTTTTTTAGACATTTTGGGACCTCACTGTGGTCGATCCGCAGTAATGTAGTCTTTGTTTCTTCGTGTCAGCTTGATAAAATGATCTTTTTAATAAATAAACCATTTGAATAAGCTTGATTTGTATTCATTTGAGCACTTTTAAGCAGTGGGAATATGTGCAATTCATTGTGTGAAAGTTTTCAGTTTGTCACACTTTCTGGTATTCAACACGTGCGTGACATGGTCAGTCGGTAATTTTGAAGCATAACTTGAATTTTTTTACCTCTTTTTCATTTTTCTTGCGATAAACTCGAATCGAATGAATCCGTATCGTAGCTGTATCGCGCCAGCATCTCTTTCCCAGTCATACAAAAATTGGACTCTATATTTTGCTGTCAAAATGCATTAATACCTGTATCAAAGATTGATATTGCGTTGGTATAAATCTCTTGTCCTGAATGGTAAGGACCAAGAACATCACCTGCATCAAGCACATAATTCACTGGTTAATATAGCTCGTAAATTAAAAAAATAGCTTATAAACCGAATAAAATTCCATAAATCTATCCGAATTTGTTTGTTGTCACCTCCAAAATCAGCACAAGGTTATAGATTCGACTAAATATTCGAGAAAAAAAATCCTGCAAGTCAAAATTACCACTAACTAAAATCTTTGCACCTTTATCGAATAAATTCCGAGTACTTACTACATATCAAAGAATTGTATATCATTCGTGCGGGTTCCCTGTGCTTTTTAGTTTTGGGCTTCCTTTAGCGATTCCATAGACCTTTTCTGAGATACGAAATCATGGTRCATTGTGGTCTAGTTTCAGTACAAATATTTGGCCACATATTTGGCCACATGAACAAAAGATGTTTGTACCGAATCTAGACCACGATGCAAAGCGTCATGCTATTTCAGAAAAGGCCTATGCCATATATGGAAACAAACAAAATGGCGGATTGTTTAGAAGTGYTTTCGCTATRATATCTGAAAGTTTCAGACGATTTCAAGCTTTAAAAGTCGAGAAAATCGACAAAAAMCATTCCTATCGAACTTCCAAATAAGGTAAGATTACCATATATGGCTGCTAAACGAAGGACAACTTTTGTGGGGCAATTCTGTGATATGAAACTAAAAAAATTCATGAACAGACCAAACCATCCCCCCCTACACTCAAAAGTCATTTAAGCACCCTTCACATAAGAACCATTTCAGTCTGAAATTTCAAAGTAGGTCCTTAATTTCCAAATATAAAGTCAATCTGTTATATTTTATTGCGAACAACAAAATATAGCACCCTGCATGTTAAACTAGTAACTCTTGTTAAAGTGCTTATATTGTCATGTCCACAAAATAAGATATACGATCTCGAGTGTTTTAAACGGCTTAAAAAACACTAATTTGAAACTCAAATCCGTTAAAATTCTTGGAGAAATTGCCGTACAAATATGTTCAGAGATAAATGGGGCAAACTGATCATGCGCGAATCACTTTACAAAGCACTCTTGTCATCCCACATTGAATACGCATAAAGTAAAATAGAAGTGCTCTTGGCTGTTCACTGAAATCGGTTGACATCCTGCATTGGTCAATGATCAGGTTTCAAACCTGAGACCTTTGCTAGGGTCATGGACCTTTATATCTGATAAAGGTTACCCTTATTAGTATTCTTTATATAAAGTATTCTTAATTTATATAAAGAATACTAATAAGGAGTGTTTTATCAGATATAAAGGTCCATGCATGTGACCAAATAGGCTCATTCTATTGGCCTAGTAGCTCATTAATTATGTATGAGTTTTTTAAATAAGATTTACAACACGGTCGTCACCTTGAGACAACCCAACACTAGCAAAGGTCTCAGTTTTAGTATCGCATCATAAACCTTCACTAGATTTAGAAGCAATCAAAGACAGATAACGGAACTCTCTTATCAAACAGAAGACTTGCTTTTCCATGTGGGATGGATAATTATTCAAAATGTTCCTGTGCTGCAGTAAATTGCGCATGCTTAATAGTGACTAAACTCAGCAGTTAAATTATTTGTCATTTTTCGTCATTTATCTCACTGTAGGAGTGTTGGAGTTTTATAAAGTCGTTTTTGACAACATTCGCGTCCGTGTTGTAAACACGGCCGCTCATGTTGTAAACTATACGTACTATTATTCCGATGAAAACAAAAGAAAAAGATGCCGCCTATTGAAATTAAACAATAGATTAACAAACGACATATATAATTATAT